CACTCCTTTCAAGTAAAGCGCGAACGACATTTCATTCAATTTTGAATCTTAATTTTCGCGAAGAACCTTCTATTTCAAATAATTTGTAGGTAGAAAATTACCCTTCGTTATTTTTGCTAATAAGTATTAAGTCAACAGAACAAATAATGCTATATGTATATTACGCGATACTACCAGCCGCTATTTCTAGAACACCATGCGTAAAACAACATCGCCTAATATAAGTGCTGAGAGATATGGACCAATTAATTTTACCATGTACAATGTCGCTGTTATTACCGAAAAGTTATTGCGCACAGTTACTATCACCAAGATTCACGACGAGGCAATAGAGCTCGTAAATCGCGAGCTTACACGTGTGTTATCACGTGTGCGCACATAGGCTGGATTCTATCTAGTGGGGAAACCGGAGACTGGTGAGCCGGAAAGAAAGAGAATAAGACGTGTACGATAAAAATTCTCCGTTCTATTCCTTATATACATAATATTCATGTATTTAGATTGTACCCATTACACCGTAGTAACATCAACAATATTTTTTTTGTTCCATTTTCTTATCGATTTAAATATATCTTTATTCGTATGTATAAATAAATTGTGGGAGGGGGAGAGGTAGGGGGAAAGAGGGTCAAGGGGGGAGGGACAAGGTGGGTGTGGGTGGCTTGTCCGTGGGTGTCTAAACGCCTGTCTTACACTCAAGGATGTGCCCGTCGTACTCTCGCTTGCCCTATAAGATATATACCTTTACGTCTATCTTCTAGCTTTAAGACTATTTTCTTTGTAAACGTGATCACAGTGTAAAGGCGTCGCTATATACGCTAAAGCGGTAAGCACATACGGTGAACACGGGTTAACACACGCTCCTGTGTCCTGTATATCAGTATTTTTAAATCACACCTTTCGCTCTCTCCCTCCGTTCTCCTCTCTCTCTTTCTCTTCGACCAAGTTCTTCCGTTCATCTTCTCGCACGAATACACGCAACTTTCTTTTATCCTCGATGAATTATTCCCAATCAGGCACTTTTTTTTGTTCACGATTCCGCCCCGAGGAGCCGCACGAGAGTACGACAGGCGCGCGCATTATTTTTTTTCTTTTGTAAAGGTATCTAAAAAGATTTGTACGTCAATGATGCTTTAATAATAAGGATCGAAAGTGCGAATGACGAACGTGTCCCTAATAATGAACATACGTGCCCTGCGTACAAAATAGTGGTAGTTTCGCGACAGCTCTTAAATACGTTATATCGATCGAAGATAGTAATAATTTGTGTACGTTGCATTCGTTTACGCGCGAGATCTGCCCGATGGATCTCCCGACGCGCTCATCGTTTCTTTTTTTTTCTTCCTTTCCTCCTCTTCCTTCTTTTTTTTTTACACGTGAAAATTCGCCCGTTGTGAATCATGTTAATGCGGCATCGGCATCTGTTAAGAAAAGCACCGTTAACGCTAAGAGATTCGCTTATCTAATCGTATAGTCCCGTGGTTTCCGGTCCTCTTGGAATGCAAAGCAATAATAAATTACTTAGATTCTAATAAATAATTATAATCGTATTAAATATTACGCGATATACAGAATAGTTATTTAAATAACTACAACCATTTACAGCAGTGTCCGCGTGTACGTGTATCTCTTCGTCTCATTGCGTGAGAGACGGCACATATTTATATATATATATATTTATATTTATATAAATGTCCGTGTATACATATATCTGTGTGTATGTGTCTGCTGTTTGTTATGTACGTGACTCTACGTGTATATATATATATATATATATGTATATGCTATCTCAATTTTTTTCCCTTCGTGCTTTCTCTCTCCTCTAATACTTTTTCTGTACAAATATTTATATATAAAATATTTATCGGATCAAAGGCGAGAAAGGCGGAGAGAGATAACCTCGGCCGAAGCGAACGGACATCGAGATACCTGCCCGGGTACGTACGAGCCTTCGGCTAAAAGTCACACCTCTCGAACTTGCCCCCCTATCGTGTTAATATTTAATAACGCACGCCCGGCTAGCTTTTGTGTTTTCCTGTACATCCACGCTCCACGGTTCTTCACTGATGCGACGCAACGTTCCCATCTAAGGGAGAAAGAATAAATGGAACTCGCGACGATACCTGCTGGTATTGACCACGTCGCAGCCGAGAAATCGTCGCGATCCAACGGTATCCACGTGTATCGATACGGGATATACGCCGCGTCAATGTGCTTCTGACAAACGCAACGCTTCGGATCCTTCAAATTCTCTTCCGAATTTGTAAAATTTCTCAACAGTCATTTCTTCTTGAGTTTGCGTGGAAATCCAAATCATGGGAGTCACTGAAGGATAAACTCTTCGATTATTCGTGGTATTTCTTCTTCTATTATATAAATTTTACGCGCATAGGTCTTAAATATTTAAACCTATGCATATAGATATAAATTTCTTTTTCTCACTTTACATATGCACAATTTTTCTTTGTCCTTAGACAGTCTGGCCTTAAAACAATAATAAATGCTTTCTTTTTCTCTCTCTCTTTCTTTGCGTCTGTAAAATAGACTTTCACTGAACCATATCCGTGTCGCCGCGTTTGTCTTAAGCATTCAAACCGCACAGCGTCAACTAAAATCTCTATCTATCTACTTGAAATTTTAATGTACTTTTTCGCAAAAAAGTACGACATAGCTATATGTTGTATATATAGCTATGTAATATGTATGTATATATATTACTTTTCGCAATTATCAACGGAGCGATTTGCAACGTGCCCCGTCGCATTTCTATACTTATTTTACTAATTTAAGACTAATGATAGAGCTCGGAATATCTCGATAAAGCCCTATGGACGGATAGTTCGTACAATATAACAGCATGATGGACGAGTGTGTGTTGGCAATTTCTTTTTTTATCTCGCAATTTTCTCTCCCTTTTTCTCTCTTTTAAAGGAAAGGCACAAGTTGTCGCGCTTTGTACATTATTTTCTGAAAGAGCAGACATACCCTCTCTCTCTCTCTCTCTCTCTCGAATTCTTAAGAATAATTTACAATTCAATTTACAGTTGACTCGCCGTCATGCTTCGGCAAGCGCGTTCTTGCGGCTTTCGAAAGTATTTTTGGCGAGAAGTATGTCTGAACACGTCGCAGAAAATACTTATACCTTCATGCTAATGAACACTGAACGTACGTTACATACGACATACGTACCGAATCTCCTGCCGTAAGGTAAAGGTACCAATACCCGGAGATGTACCTATATCCGGACACCTTTATTATTTATAAGTATAACGCGATTTAAAATCAAAGATAAAAGTATTTTTTTCTTGTTCAGTTATAATAGCCAAACGTTTATTTTAAAAAATTTATATTTTTTTAAAGGTATCCAGACACAGAGGTACATTTCCTATGCTTAAGTGTCCGGGTATTGGTACCTTTACCTTATATATATTTTGTCTTGTTCAACGAAGAAGGAAAAGAAAAGAAGTAGAAGAAACGGAAAGAGGAAAGACAAAATTTTTTTAACTGCGAGTAGCTCTCTGCCTTCTTCTCCCAGCTACTGATGACTCTTACTCAGTAAATGCGAGTTGAACTGGTACAGATTACAGCACTGCTCCCCGCAAATATTGCACTTCCACGGGTTACTCTCGCTGTGACAACCTTTGTGGAGGAAGTACAACGTCTGATCCGGAAACGTGATGCGACAGTGGGTACACTGGAGGCCGCTCGTGCGAGGATCTGGCCTAGTCGAGGTCGGTGGTTCGCCCCTCGAGTGTGGATTGGAATTAACGCCGCCACCGCAACCGCTGTTACTACTGTTGTTATTGTTATTGGTGGAGCTGGTGGATAACTTGCGACGTAGATCGTCGCGCAGCAACGACTTCAACGGTGACACCTTGATCAGCGACGGTAACGGTAGATTGCTCGACGTCGCTCCGCTGTCGTCCATACCGTTGCTATTCGGCTCTTGCTTGATGGGTATCAGGGAGATCGAAGGTGTAATGGCTTCGTCACCTCCGCCTACGTTCCTAAGAAAATTGTGAAATTCCGATCTGTAATTTACGTGATTCGGAACGCAATTAATTGTCGGCATTTCTAATTTAATCCTTGAATTATTCAACATACATGATTTATTTATCAGTCAAGTAGAGATTAGCGATAAAAATAACATGAACATATAAAAATCATACAAGTTAATAATAATTTTCGCGACCTACTTTTGCTTACCTATGAATGGTACTGCTATTGATAGATAATTGATGATGACTACTGCTCGGCGCGTTGCTATTGCTGTCAGCGCTCTGCGGACTATTGGGGCTGTCTCCGTTCAACGGGGCAGGACTCGGATTTCGTTGATTGGCAGCTTGTTCGGGGTAAGGAATGGATATCTCCACGTGGGGCGTAAGGAAATGCATGGGGGGCGTGGCGTTGTCGGTCGAACGGTTGCCAGTGCTGTCCCCGCTGTCGGACAGAGGTGCCGAAGGCATCGCCTCCCCAGACGTGCAACTATTCATTATGGACGTAGAGCTATTTGGTCCTGGATTATCTAAATCTATTCCATGTCTATGAACAATAAAAGGTATAACATAAAATGGGATAGCAACGCGATACTTTCCTTCAATAATTGACGAAAGTGGCATGCGACTTACCTATTAAAGAAGTGCAACCTAAGGCATTTCATGGTTGCCGCACGATAATTACAGAGAGGACACGATTTGACCATATCGTGTTGACCAACGTGCTCGTTCTGAAAGTGAGCGCGCATCGCGATCTGTCTTTGGAAACCTCGGTTACATATCGGGCAATGGTATGGCAAAGTTTTTGAATGCGTCGTAAAGTGTTCCGCAAGATGGTCCTTCCGAAAGAATCTCTTCTGACATACCCGACATTCGTACGGTTTCACGCCTGTATGCCTCATCTAAAAGATAAAAAGAGGATACCATAGGTCAATTGTGTTTGCAGATAACTGTATATACATTGAGTACATAAAATCATCATTAACAGGATACAGAAAGCAGAATTATATATTTGAAAAAATTTGATTTCTTATATTTATCGACTAAAATATGTAACAAGTCGTCAACCAAAACGTGTGACGTATCGACATAAGTTTTTCCACCGTACAATCTTTCTGTACTTACTTTGTGTCGTCTCATGTTAGCTCCATTTGAAAATTTCATATTACAGACGTCGCATTCAAACATCTTTCTGTGAGACCTGATCCCCGAATGACCCTCCTCTCCATCCCCATCATTCTCTGTCCCTTCTATACCTTCAGTGCTCTCCCCAGCTTCGCCGCTCGCCAGACATTGATCTTGATGAGCGGAGAAAGCTGTCTTGTTTATAGTTTCATAATTGTCGCATCTATCACATCTACGAAATTAAGAGAATCAGATACGCGTATCCAAGAGACGTACATACATCATTTTGCGATAGAGCAGTCGTTCCAGTCGGCTGTTATCCGACACGAAGCTACAAATCTCAATCTCACCTGAACGCGGGAACAGCTCCATCGCTGCTGTCATAATTTGTATTGAGAGCGGCCTCGTTGTCGGGATCTAACGCCTCTTCCTCCCTGTGATTAGAAGAGTCTCCGGCCTCGGCTTGCGAAGAGGAATGGGAGTCTACCTCGTTTTCCCCACCACCACCGTCAACCCCATCTGACATGTTACCAGGCGGAAGGACTACCTTGAGTCCGTCATCTAACCTAAGACGGACAAGTGCATGGATTAGTCGAGCTTATTCCTGGGTGGCAAAACGCAGACACTGCAGACAGCGTATTCACTCGTAGAATTCACACAACCGCTCCGACAGTTCCAAACGTCCAAGTGGGGAGCACCGATCTCACCGCTCGCCCATTTAAATACAACCTTAACCCGTTTAAAATAGGATCACAAATGCCTCTCGCTAACGTACGAGAACCGCGAGCGAGGATCGATCATCTGACGCGCTTCGCGTTCCATATTTCGTCGAGCCGAGCGAACGGGAGGCTCGGTCGCTCGGGGCACCCGACCCGATATCGTCGTGCCCTACATAGCGTCGACCCGTTCATCGTCACCACGTTCGCGCCACGGACACGTCGCCGTGCGGGATCTCGTAATAACGCGACGCAGAGAGAAACGCGCTTTTTCGCTACGCGGGACACTCGCGCGATTGCTCAACGTTCGCGAATTCTGCGGAGAAACGAGGCCTGCCTCTTATCGCGCGCGAGAGAGAGAGAGAGTGCGTGTCCTCACCGTGTATATCACCGTGACGTATTTACGCGCGAGCTCGCGTCCGCTCGCATCTCGCGCCGTCGCGCGCGCCCCGAATGCCACCTTTACCTGTCAGCTCGCTCTCTCTCTCTCGCTCTCTCGCTCTCTCTCTCCGCGGCGCGACGGCGGTGGCCCGATGCCCGATACACCCGTGTAATATCTCTCTGTCAAGCCGCTCCGTCGGCCCGTGCTCGCGTTTCGCGATTTCCAAGCGCGCGCGCGCGCGCGCTCGAGAGAGAGAGCGTGAAAACCGCGAGAATACACTCCGAGGAGGGGTGTCCCTCGAGCGAGGAGAGCAAGGTGCAACGGTACGGAGTGTTACCCAATCCTGGGAAGATTACGGCATAGAAACACCTGGTGGTAAAGCGCAATGCCAGAGTGCACTGCACTTTGTCCCAGTTTCGACCGAATCCGTCACTCGTGACGTAGTTTTCGCGGCTTTTCCGCGGAAAGTCTCTGGCGGTCTCGCGCGCACGACGGCGGAGGAGGCGAGAGGAAAAAAAATGATTGGCAACCGGGAGGGCAACGGGAGGAGGGGTCGAAGGGGGCCAAGGGGGACGGGAAGGGGGCGAAGAAACGGACGAAACGACGGGACGGGACGGACGGACGGGGACGGGGACGGGGGCAGCGGGACACCTCTCGCGCGCGCTCACGGCTTTTTGCGACGGCCACTTACTCACATTCCACGGGGGGGACCGCGGGTGGACCTTCCTCGGCGCCACGACGGAATTTTCGCTCGTCGTCCTCGCGGGCCGCCCGACACTCACGAGCGCTGCCGCACACGCATCTCCCTGACACTTTTATTTTTCTCTCTCTCTCTCCCCCTCCCCGCGCACGATCACACACAACTAGTACAACTACACAAGTAAAATGTAACGGAAGCGCCGAGGTGTCCGTACGGCACTTCTCTCGCTCGTCTGCGCTCGCCGATATCGGCACTGCTGCCAACCGCGTCGCCGCCGACGGACCGACGGACCGACCGATCCGCGGCTCCGCGCGCTCACCGACCGACGGATATCGCGCCGACGTCGTTGCACCGGACCCCCGTGATCGAGACTGATCGAGATCACGCGGGCGCGCGCGCGCGCGCATGGCTCGGTCGCGCGAACATAACCTCCTCGCGCGACCCGAGGTTGGTACCGCGCGCGCGTTTCGACTCCGCTGACCTGTCAAACGTCACGCACGTCATCGCCCCGCACGGCTCGTCGTATGATGGCGTGTTTACGCGCGATCGCGGACAGCGACGGTCCGCGGAGTTTCACGCTGCGATTCCTAACCTAAAAAACCCACCTACGTGAATTTTCATCCGCGAACGCAGGAGATCGGAAATCGGGTCGTCGTGGGCGACGCGATCTCCTTCCAGCGCTGTCATGTGACGTCTCCTCTGGCGTAAGGATTGTTTTCTCGATACGCGGAACGCGGATCGCGGATCTTGTCGCGCGTATCGATTCCGCGGAGTTGCGACTCCGAAGTCTCCGATCTCCGATCTAACCTCACCTCACCTCATCCTCATCTCCACATTCTCGCGCTCGCGGTGCACTTTACTCCGCCTCGCCGCGTGCATTGTGCAACTGCGTTGTTTGTTGACTTCTCTCCTCGCGAGAGACTCAGACGGAATTTCCGTTATGCCTGATGGTTATGCCTCGCGCGGGAAACGAGGGTCGTCGTTACAGGTGTAATCGTAACGCCGGCGCGAACTGATATCCTCTCATTTTCCGTATTTCAGTGCGTTTTTGCCGATGTTGATCGAACGTGCGGCCAACATCCGCAGGTTGACGGTGCCCGATTGACGTAAACAGGTAATCTGCAATTCCGAGTCGCACCCATTTCGCATCCCCACGCCGATACGCTCCGTATTAATTTCTCGAACAAAATGCTGCTACGAGTAGACGGGCGAATCGTTCGAGACGTAGAGAAATGAAGATTAATTTGAACTTCTCTTCAGCATCTATCTCATACATAGTCGCATTAACATCGATGTGATATATAATATATAGTAAGCGAGATGTTAACAGTACGCCATCAAGTTTATCAGCAGAAACCGAGCAATGTCTGTCACTTTGCGACCAATAGAATTCATATTATTTAAATTTTTCAATGATTACGAAACGGTAGATTATTCTGCAGACGGTTTGTTTTCTGCGGTCAATCTGCTATTGCGTTCTGTTGACATATTCTATGATATTCCTGCTAGCATTCTGCCGACAAAGGAGACGGCAGATACTTAGTGACATTTATTTTCGACAGATTTGACTATCTGGAGTACATTTGTCTAATGTATTGATTTACGAGTGAACATATCAAGAAGACAGGCAGATATTTTTTGGACGGAATTATTTACTTGCGGTCGGCGCAGCTGTGCTCGCGAAGGAGGATTGATGGAGCAAAGAAGACGGAGAAAAGAAAAAGAGAGGGAGAGAATGAAGAGAGTGAGACAGAGACAGTGACAGTGACAGAGTATATGTTATGGTGGCACAGAGTGTGTGTTGGGCGTTGCTCTCCGGTTACCTGTTGATCGTCATTTACATGTTATCTCTTATATCGTGCGATTGTCGTTGTTTTACTGACTCTGTGGGTTCTCTGGCGATCGTTCTTATCATGAAACGCTACGGTAAGATCGGAGTGAATGATCGTCCCGTGAGATTCGATCTGTCTCTCTTTCTTTTCCTCTCTCTTCTTTGTATCTCGACAGTCCTCTCGTTTCTCTCTTTACACGTTCACGTTATGTTTTTTCCGCGATCGATCATCGAATTCGCGTGCCTTATCGCTGATAAGAATGTCCGTTTTACATCTGTTAAGTGCTCCACGATGGATCCTGAGCTCAACGTAGCGATATCTTATAGCTCCATTTTTAGATTAGAGCTGATTTTTTATTTATGATCAAAACATCTAATTTTACAGAGACAATTGAGTCCAATTGTTAAAACTTCTAGGTTTCTCTATAGATAGTCGCGAGTGACAAATTCGGCACAAGAATGAGTTCAGAATTCACGCCTCGTAACTCGGTTAAAAAAATATGAAAATTAAAAGTATGAAGATTAAAAATACTTTCACAAATCGTTGCTTTTAGAAACCTGCGGTTTACTGCGATTTATTTAAAAAAATCTTAATATCTCGTTTACTTTTATAATTCGTTCTCTGTTTACTTTTATAATTATCTGTTATTTTTAAAATGTCTTTAAAAAAAATTAATAAAAAATAGCGAAGTTACTTTCGAATATACACCAGTTTTTTGCTATAATTTGATACAGATATAAATTAATCTAAAAATGGTGCTAATAAAATTTAATTGAGAATTATTTAAATTAATTTTTCTCAAATAAAATGCTCGTCTTCGATTAGATGTAATTTTAATTTTATATAGAGCAAAGTTAAAAAAAAATGTATAATTTAAAATCATTGCATAATCACCCGCACACTTCGGGATTACTTAACGAGGCAGTCCTGAATATGTTGCACAATTATATCCCGATGAGTGCACCGCGCTTCCCGACGTTGCATCGCACTTACGTCGTCTGGAAAGCCGTACGAATCGTTTCGATTGCAGTAACATCCAAAAACGTCCTGTGTCTCGTTGACACATCGAGTTTTAGACAAGGATTTTTGCGTCGGAAAAATAAGAATTTATAATTTTTCTCTTGCAGCGTTAAGTGATGGGCAAAGGTGAGGAGAGGAACGGCACGACGGCGCAGGCGGGCGAATCGACATTCCTGGCAAAGAGCTCGAACGAGGCCAGCAAGATGCTGGAGGCTGCTTTGCTCCAGATGGACGACATTATTTCTGGTACAAATATGATTTATAGAGATATCAAATTTGGATGTATCATTCACATAGCATATCATCTACGGATACATGAAAATACCTGTGTTCTATAAGTACGTTATCAACGCGATTCTAAGAGAAATGTAGAAAGACAGATACTAGCGATTTTGTTTCATTCAAAAGAAGATTAAAAAATACTCAGTTCGAGAATCAGGCAAGCTTACAATTTGTAATATTCATTTCAAGTACGATGTTCGAAGTATAGTAAATTCTGAATCGCAAATTTTATAGGTCCATTTTACTCTTTCACTAAATCTCGATTGATATCCTCAAATGATATTGCGATCGCAATTATTTAATTATTATCGCTCTCTACGGTCATTATATTGCAAATATATTTGCAGGTGCTTGTGCCGATAGCTCGGCCGAGAGCAGCTTGGAATGGAAGAACTCGGTGAAAGAGGCAGCGAGGAATCTTGTGACCGCGATAAAGAGCGCCCCAATGCCACCCCCGCCGCCCGATGGCGTCACCCAGAACATCCTGCTAGCATGGATGCAGCCGGTAAGCTGACAGACAGATAGTGATCTGTGATCTTTATGCCGCTCGCACACTCGTCGGTGAGCGAAGGACGAGCGCGTCGTCTCCTCAGAATTTTGCCCTTCCGTGGCTTCCGCTCTTCAAGACGCGACGCGTTCCGGAAACAGGAACGTTTCGCGACCGGCTCGAACGTCGTCGGCGTGTGAGGAACACGTGTGGTGTCCGCTGCGTGCATCCGGAGCCGCGTTTGCATCCGGTACTACAGGCCGCGTCGACGCGCACGTGTTCGCGCGCGTGTTTGATCGCCGCCGTACACCGGTCACGTATGTCCGCGCGTACATCCGGACGTCTGACTTTGTAATAGTTAGACCGTAATCACGGACGTGATGTTGACCGATGGTGGTCGATGTCGATCGTGACTTAAGAATCCATTTTTGGTTTTAATTATCATCGTTTTCGTAGCTATGCGTTTATTATATGAATATAGAATTGTCGATAGAATTTCTCTCTCGCCTGTAAGTACGATATTATAATTCATAATAATTTTTATTGTTATATAGGATTCGATCATTACCTTTAAATCGATAAGTAATAACGAGATAAGGATAATAGTTATAGTTTTATACGTCTTATTATGTGACTTGATTTTTAAACATTTTTTTTATCGAGCTTAAATAGCTAGAGATGAAGAAAATCACCGCGATCTCATAGGTAACGAGAAGAGAGGACATTGATCTATTTATAAATTGCTGTTGCGCCTCTCTCTCTTTTTCCTTTGCGTACTCCCTCCCGCTCTTCTCGAAGGATTTCATGGCGTTAATTTTAGTTTCGGCGGAGACGATGCCGCGACTGGTAGCGCGAGAGTGCACTTCATCGAGATAACGTTCGATTGTGTACAAACCTGCCGATATCAGAGTCCCGAATGCACTTTGCACGGTACACGGTGTCCGGCAACATCGTTATACGAAGTATCTATTATAACGGTGACCTCGTGAAAGAAAGTAAGTGATAGAAATGTAATTTTTATTGGAAAAAGTATCTCGACATTAATACATCTGTCACTGAACCAGATATGAGACCGTAATGTGTTTCACACTGAGCTCAACTAGAAAGCAAACGCAATAATTGAATGGAATAAAACGTGAATACAACGTGAAAGAAATTCATCATGGAGAACACTTGGAGCGACGGTATTGCTGGAGAACGAAAGGATCTCACTCCCATAATGGAAGAAGAGGATAAGGGACAAGCGAAAGGTTTCTCTTCAACCCTTTCTTCCATCTCGCGTGACGTCAGCGAAATACGGAAATTGAAGAATTAGAATGAATCAGTACAGAACTGTTACACGAATTAAATCAAAACTTATCTTTTGAATAATTATGTCGTCCCAATCAAAGACATCTTGAGCAAGTCAATTTTATATTTTTAATTGAATTTGAAATTTTGTCGAGAAAGCAACGTGAATGCTATATAATTCTACGGTTTACGATTTTCACGAAAGCCAAGCCATAACACTCGAGCGGTTTCAATTAAACGACGCGATATAACTTGGCAGACGTCCGACAGACGAGTTCGCGAAACTCGTCGCGCTTCGGTACTAAAATCGTTCGGCTGGCTGGCTCGCTCTGGCTGGCCAGTGCACCGGAGTTATGCTTTTGATGGAGCCCGAATAAATGGCACGCTCGAAATAGATTGCCTTAACCGCGGGGCGCGCCGACCGCAGTTGACCGTCCGAGGCACATACGTTCATTGACTCATACTTCGAGTACGGGTATAGTACGCGGGATCGATTATTGTTTCAATCTTTGTTAAAGTAAACGCCACGTTCGAGGCCACCGTACGGGGCGCGGAAAATAGATCGGCGCGGCGCGTTACGATCTTCGAAGATTCACCGCGATACCGCTGATGGGAAGAGACCTCTTGAACCCCTCGTGCGCGTGGATTAAAAAAAGCTTCAACCGTATCTAAATTCAGGTTCGCAGTCGGACTCGTCGGACGCGGCGTCGACTATAAAGCGTTGGAACAGCCGATGGACGCCCTCAGAGGGCTACGATTCGTCGGGGACGTCGACGAACTCCGACGTGGGTGACGAGTACGTCGAGGATTATCCGCGGGATATCAGGCCGGATTTGTCCGAGCCGACAATCGCGTGCCAGACAGCCTACCGATCTCAGGAGTGTTTGTGTCAGGTAGACTTAAGATAGAGAAATCGAGTTCAAAGAAGTTGTATACTCATATACGGGATACTGTATCTCGTATTTACATATTCCAATTAGTAAAATGTGATTATATAAAAAATGTCAATGAAATATCTTTCGCCGAGGTATTGATAATATCGTTGTAGGCTTGCTTACTCGGCTATGCTAAGATGATAGCGCTTCAAGGGAGTATGCCTAATATCTGTGCAGTATCCAACGGTATGGCTAATATCTGCCCGGCGTCGGCTGCGCATCTGGGAAGTTTTCCGTCTCTCTGTGCGATGCCGTGCTCAAGGTCACTGTTTGTACAGCATCCTAACTTTTATATTGCCGTTCGACAAATATCGAATATCTTTGAATCTCTCTAAATGGACTTCTAAAAGCTATCGATCCTTACAAACCGACAGCGTTTCTAGCGAGCTCGCACATCACGCCGTTAAGGAACATGCGAGAAACGTCGCTCATTATCCGCACGTTTGTCACTTGCAACAAGATCCGATATTCGCGAAGGAGCGAGAAATACACGCGGGTAGCAGGACGAACAGTACGACATCCCTGCCGGTAAGCTCAACGGGGAGATGCGCCGGTTCTTTGGACAGAAGGCGACGCAGATTCCGCAGTAGAGTGGACCGCGATCAGAGAGCTATGTCTCATAGCGATCTGATCTGCCACGAGAGGGATAGACCGCATCACTACTGCTCGCTGCAACAATTTCACTGCGGAAGCAATATGTGCATAAATAATTATCATAGCAAGACCGAGGTATACTGTATGAGAGAACTTTTAATAAAACTTCCGATTGTGTGGTACCATAAATGTGAATTCTTCCTTAATCCTCTTATTCTAATAATAAAATTTAAAATAGTGAAATTTTTTACTAATAAGATTATTAATGATCGTTTTATCGATTTGCTTTTCAGGAACGATTGAGAAAATTGGAAAGCGAACGTGGAGCACTGCATATGGAAGTGTCAGTTTTATCCGAACAAGTCGACGCACAATCGAATAAGATACAAGAGCTGGAGAGCGTACTTCAGGAGAAGAAAGATACTCTGAGACAGATGGAAGAAGCGTTGCAGAAGGTAAAATATCTTGTGATTTTATATGATCGATTTATAGCTTCACATGTTCATTCGTTTTATAGGAAGTTTTATCAAGAAGCGCTTTGGAAACACAGAAGTTGGAGCTTCTTACCTCCTTGTCCGAAATGAAACTCAGACAAGCTAGTTTGGAGCACGAAAATCTGTCGCTGCGCAATACAAGTCCTTTATCGAATGTTAGTATATATTTTAACAGTTATTATAATATAAAGTTCTATATTATTATACCATAGAATGTCATGATAAAATTTACTAAGCAATTTTACGTTCACAGGGAGAAAGATTCAGCAGACATACGGGTCAATATAGTAGTCTTCCTAGGCCGCCGACGTCCAAGAAAGGCGTTGTATTTGGTAAGGTTCCAAATTTAGTCTCGGGAGCGCATACAACGGTACCTTTGGCTGTTAGGGGAGTCTCTGCGAGATGTCTGTCCGCTCCTCTTCTAGGTTCCGATCGATTTTTATCTAAGCATGCGGTGTCATGTTTAAAAGTTCTTAACGATTCTACATAGGATCTCAATATTAATCGACTTGAATAACAGCATGTTGTTGCGATTAATTGAAAAGTAATTTGCTTGCAAACCACTCACGGCTGGTGCGCATGCATTCGGACTAATTCGGACGTTATCATTATTAAATATTTTCTTTAAGTCTTCACAGTATGAATTAATTTTCATAAATACCCAACTATTGAAAGGTGCTTTCTCCTCATTTCGTAACTTGATTGCTGTGAAATTTTATGAAGCCAAAGTACAGATTATTGATTTAATTATATACTGCTTTAACAAGTATTTGAAGAAATAACATAAATAAGATTAGAGTCGTATTAATTTCACCTTAATGCAAAGGGTCCAATATGTCATTATTTAACATACATATGTAAAGAGTTGTACGTATTTATACAAATATTATTATCACAGCGGAAGAAGCGAAAATCATGATCAGTGAGGCAAGCGCACAAGTGGAATTGCCGCCACCGAAACCGCTCGCGGAACTCGGTATGGAGGAGATTGGTGATTGGTTGGCTCGCCTTGGTCTGGAATGCTACGCCGGCGAGCTGCGACGATGGGGTGCCACTGGATCGAAGCTGCTCGACGCCACGCAGGTTCAACTGGAGAAAGAGTTAGACATAAAGAACGCCCTGCACAGGAAAAAGTTGCTTTATGCCATCGAATCGGAGCGAAGCAACGGCGCTGGATTATTCGGTTCTCACAAGGTTGCGATCGATTTTGTTATAACTTTATCGAGTTATCTGAGAAAGTCTGAGAGTGAAGATCCTGTCCAATATCTCGCAGATGGATAATGCGGCGGTGTTACGATGGCTAGACGATATCGGACTGCCGCAACACAAAGAAGCCTTCCATAACGCCAAGATTGATGGTAGAGTTTTACACAGATTGACTACGGAGGATCTTTTGAACCTCGGAGTGGCCGCACAGTTGCACGCCGCCAGCTTAAGACGTGGAATTCAGGTACTTCACAATGTATAATTATAATTTATAAGTTCTGATATTCAGATGCTATATACATGATACATAGGCCATAAATTTGGAGCCAATATTTGAAACGATGTACATCGTGTAGGTTTTACGAGACTTGAACTTTGAGTTTGACAATTTGGAAAGAAGATCCGTGAACGGGAATGGTGCCGATGGTACGAACGTAACTCTCTGGACGAACCATCGTGTGATGGAGTGGCTGCGAGTCGTGGATCTCGCGGAATATGCGCCGAACATGCGCGGTTCCGGCGTTCATGGGGGCCTGATGATCCACGAAGGTCGATTTACTTCCGAGCTGCTCGCCACGTTGCTCAGCATTCCACCGGCGAAGACTCTGCTCCGTAGACACCTGACGACGCACTTTAATCAGATTCTCGGCAGAGAGGTGGTTCAACAAAAGCGAGAGATGGAGACCACACTCGGATTCGTTCCACTGACGCTTACCGCTAGATTAAAAGTGCGTTTTATTATGCCGTTTATCTCATTAATATTTCTTAATGGTAAATGATGATTAAATTTAAAATTTTATCCAAGGTACCAAAGAAATCTCAATTTACGCTGAAACGCAAGAAGAGTAAAAACGAGATGGATTTCGGCAATTTGGTTTGCCCATTGGAGGCATCGCCACCAGGTACCCCATCAACGCCCTCGTCAACACCGGGCAGCCCTAACTTGAACTCACCCACATTCTAACCACAATTAAAGCTTCATTCGGGTAATCATCTAAACTAACTTGTAAGTCTAACTCGACTAATGATATTAAAGACCGTGTTATGATCATAAGATTATACTTTTCTAAGTTGTGTAAATCATACTTTTATTTCTGGAAAAGCCTATTTTTTGCTAAATACTATTATCATGATTTTATATGCATCTTGGATAAACGAGATATAAGGATTATTATATATCTCTATATAAAATATATTGTTGAGCTCTAAATTAAAATTCTATTAGCTTCCATCGTAACTTTTACATCAATATATTGCTTATTACCAATCTTCATTTATTTCTTCATTATAATTAATACTTTTTCTTTTTACCAAAAGCTTTTTACAAGAGCATCCTAAATATGGCGCTATTATTAACCATTTCGAATATCTTATATTTTCTACATCTCAATTTTATGTGATTAAAAGAAATTATGCCTTCTAGACTTGGAGGATACTGGGCAAAGGAGAATTATAGGGTGCATATGAAGTGGACGAATTGCGAAAGGATACATTTCAACAGTAAAACAATGGATATATACATATCCAAACAACCTGAGACAACGCGCGAAAATACATCAGAATCACCTGGGACCAGTTATCCGTAACGTAAAATACATAGCCACATCGAAATGTGCATTTCGGATAAGAAGTCGCATAAACGAGAGCTAACTCCGATCACCGCCAAAGTTTCATTAACGCCGTAACTAAAAAATTTGATAAAAATTAACCGCTTTACAGAGAATAAATATTTTTACTACGAATCATTAAATTATGTATAGGTATAGGTAAATCGGAAATAAACATTAAATTTATACCTATTTCCTACATTTATCTTTACCCATTTTTAATTCTCGTGTAAGAATAACGTATCCAATTAATTATCTGTTGCTTATCTTTAATTAAAGAATTATTGTCTTTAATTATTGTCTTTACCTTTAAAAAGAAAACGGAATCGCAGTCTTATGCGACACAGCTGCGTGCAATTGTAACTTTCACATTTCCTACAATCATAGAATAATGTTTATAATTATTTGTTATTAAATTTTTTTTCAATCAATTAATTTTATTATATAATTTTGTTCATTGTTTCATTAATACACTATTTAATCGTTATATGTGTGTCTAATTTTATATACATCTTATTTTATATGACTTGTTAAAACAATAATAATAATCAATGAAATACAGGAAGAATTATCATCATTAAATTAAATATGATTTTAATGTAAGTTTACTAAAAAAAATTAATGTTCTTAAAAATTTACTATTTTTTTTTAATCAAGTAATTTTTTGCAGCAAATGATAAGTCGAAAATCTATCTTATTGACTGTCGAGACATTTCCATTAATTTACGATTGACGGAACTTTCCGGTACACCGCGCGCATGCGCAGTGTATCTTACGTTTTAATTTTGATGGATTTAGATTGGCAGAACTGCGGCGATTCTTTTCCTTCGTTGCTTCACCGAAATGGTGAGTGTTTTTGTGCTGCGGTATCTCCAGAGTAATCTAACAATTCCGGAGACATCGTCTATCCGTTAATTGTTTGTTTGCGATAAATACACGATCGAGATAATCGCGGATAATTCTCTGCATTTATTACACTCGCGAAAAGAAAATGTATATCTTTGCGGATAATGTTAACCTATACTTATACCTGTGCAATTTCTATTCCATGCTGGATGACTTTACTTGAGATTCCTTCGGAAATTACCTGGGATTATCTTCGAATCGATCGACAATTGGAGCACTTTTATTCGCAATTTTCTTAGTTGAATTATTAATATTTATTAACTGCATATTTTATATTCGCTCAGTCCACACACAAGAAGAAGACGAGGAAGCTGCGTGGACACGTGAGCCATGGCCACGGCCGCGTCGGTATGTTTGCTCAGTATATTGTTGTAGCCACGTGTATGAAGTAAATGAAAGCGTGTACTAGTTAACAAACGTAGCACGATATATGTTTATAAATTTGAGATTGAAATTCTTCAAATATTTATAATTCTCATTTATATGATGATTTGCAACGGGCGGTCTGAAAAGTGCGTACAACACTTGTATCCCTGTAGAATATGTTGCATTCTGATCGTGATAATAAAATATTGAAAAGAAATCATAAACTTTAAACGTGACAATTCAATCATATTAAAGTCTTTTCTAAAAGAAGAGGTCAAAATTCTATTAATGTAAAATATTTCTTTGCAAATATTGAATCTCTGATCGAATCAAAGATGTTTATTTTCTTTGTGTATATAATTATTTGTCTAATGTGCCATTACTCTTGTCTTAAATTAACTTTTGATATAAATATTTAATTTTTTTTCTGCTCCATTAAACACATGAAAAATATACTGTTTTACATGGTTTCTTGAACTGTTTGCATCTTTCAGGCAAGCATAGGAAGCATCCTGGTGGTCGCGGTAATGCTGGTGGTATGCACCATCATCGAATCAATTTCGACAAATACCATCCCGGTTACTTCGGAAAGGTAGGAATACGTCTATATGATGTTGTGCAATAAAAAAAGATATGTATTTATCAGATGATGAGAACTTAATTTTCACCGGCGAACTGAATCACATTGATTGTATCTGTATAATCTGAATAATTTCCAACGCGTATAAACGTGCTGTCAAGAATTCGTATCTTGTTAACTGATATTTTTTTATTTTACAGCTCGGTATGAGGAATTATCACTTACGACGCAACACCAAATGGTGTCCTACTATAAATCTAGACAAATTGTGGACCCTGGTCTCCGAACAGACAAGATTGAAGTACAAAGATGTGGAAGGCAAAGCTCCCGTAATCGATCTCGTGAAAGCGGTAAGTTGTAGACTTTTTTTAATTGTAATTTCATACAATTATATTCTTTAAATATTTATATTTCCCAATATGTGATGATTTGCAACGGGCGGACTGAAAAGTGCTGTACAACACTTGTATACACTGTAGAGTGTTGCATTCTGATCGTGATAAAATATTTAAAAAAAATCAATCATAGAGCTTAAATGCGACAATTCAATCACATAAAAATTTTGCATTTATACATTAGCACATGAAAAAATCTACTGATTGATATTACTGATTAACTTTTTTCAGGGATATTACAAACTCCTGGGAAAAGGACGCCTTCCAAAGCAGCCTGTCATCGTTAAGGCTAAATTCTTCAGTAAACAAGCGGAGGACAAGATCAAGGCAGTTGGTGGTGCATGTGTTTTGTGCGCATAATCATCGAGTACGTTCCTTTTTTTCTTCGAACATTCGGCGGTACCTTTTTGTTATTTTCATGATGATCCGTAACGGGCGGACTGAGAACTGTACAACGTTTTAACGAAATGTTGTGCATTAGTGTAGATTGTTGTATTCTGATCAACAATTTTGTGAAATACCTTGAAGAGACTGTACAATCAAAATGCTAACTTACATGTTTTGCTTTCAGAATATCAATTTCCATAAACGTATGCTCTGTAAGTACTCAAGCTTCACTAAAACGTGTGGAATTAAAGATCAATTACAAGAGTAAATTGTGGAGGATGTATTTCGATGAAATGATAAATAAACACATTTTTTTAAACACATTTATCTCGTTTCTCGTGCTTTTCTCACAAGTTGTCCTATTCTTATAAATAGATTCTATATTATTACATAGACATAGACCGCGAATATGTAGCGAAGATATAAACGGTAAAGCCCTGTGCATAATGAAAACCGCAATGCAATAAGAACAGAATTTCCGACGCGTTGGATATCTATTCTTTAAGTATTGCCCGTTTCTGTTGCCTGTTGGTTTTCATTGTGCATACAGCTCAACATTATCTTAAAGGAAGGTTCATTATGATAGATGTATCTCGTTCCGTCAGATTTCTTATGCTAAGTGAGGTGGTGGAGGAGGTATTTGCATTCCAGTTGCCAAGAGAGCTGGCGGCGGTGGTACTGGATTGAACATTGGCGGCCTGGGCGGAGGCGGTGGTACGGGTACCATCGGACCCAGTCCTGGCCTTATCAAGGGAACCGGCGGTGGTGGTACTTTGCCTACAGACGGTTTTTCGTTCTTAAATGCGAACTGCAAGAAAAACTGCTTTGTGTCCTTATTCCAATGAGTCCAGAACTTTCCTTCTGCCTTTTCCACTTCCCTGCTAGGCACCTGTAAAAAATTATTGACAGTGAGTAAAGCCTTTCGCACTATTTCTATATTATATTAAATTGATTAATCACTCAAACTTATTCATGGGATGAATAATCTTAAAAATATTCAGCGAGTAAACAAAGGAAAACAGTATCTTCTTACTTTGAAAGCGATAGTCTCGTATGGCTCAGCCGCAAACAGCAGATACTGCCACTTGCGATCCGGTGGCTCAACCCTTTGCTCGTAGGCGGACATAAACCTGTGTCGTGGTATTACATTGTCCGCCACCTCCGGATAATCCACTTGAAACAGCAGACTCTGCTGGCCGGACTCCGGATCGCGTTGCTTGGTGACTCGGTAACCAGGTCGACCAATCTTGACGAACTTCTTCGGCTCGACCCGGGGCTTTTCCGGCGCGAGGGTCTGCGGCGCTTCCTTGGCCTCCTTCGCGGCCCTCCTGGCCAGATTGGCCTGGTGCTTCTTACCCTGCGTGTGCGCCAGGTAGCTGCCTTCGTTATTGTGCAGGGTGAGACACAGTTTGCACTCGTACGAGCCCAGGTGATTTTTCATGAAATACGGATCCTTGTTCAGGTCGATGGTCTCCAGGGCGAGCTGACGGAGTCGCTCCCGGCGGTCGCGATTGCTCTCCGACCAGGAGGCGACGCCGCCACCGCCGGTTTTGCCGCCCGGCCGATTCTGGAAGTCCATTCTTGCTCGCCGAAAGTGTGTCGCGTCGACGGGAGGATGAAAACCCCTCTTTGTAAACGCGTATCTTCGTCAGCGAGTTATCGTAAATACAGATAACCTCACTTTAACTGCTTTAACTACAACCACGGTTCACAATATTACTAGACGGATCTGACGAATGTTCTGATAAATTGTTTTCTGGTGTTCCGCTCTCATGTCGCTGATCCATGCGCCGTGCGGAAGAGTGCGTTGACCAATCAGAAGGCTGCCAGAAGTCGCCAGCGTTAGGAGTCACGGTGGAGACCTCTGTCGAGCGGCCGGAAATTACGGATTCGTTTTTCCCAAATTTTAGCCAAATTAATAATGCAAATAATGTGATTAGACAATTTTCTTAAGAATTTAAAAGTGTCTTAAATTATTAAGGCCATTACACGTAACAAAATTTTAATCATAATCGTAAGGCCGTAAGAAAATAGACCAATTACTACATTCGATTATTCTTCGAGCTCAAGGAGAATAAGGCCCCGGACACACACTTTTTCGTAACAGTAACAGTAGGATTTCGACCAATCGTGTTACTCGATTCGGGAACGTATAGCCGTACGTTTTCGAATCGAGCAACGCGATTGGTCGAAATCCTACTGTTACGTTCTAAGGAAAGTGTGTGTGGCCAGCTTAATCGACTGTGATTGGTCTATTTTCTTACGGCCTTACGATTATAACTAAAACTTTGTTACGTGCAATGGCCTTTAAAATATTTATTATTTATACCTATAAGATTTCCTGGTGATTGGTTGTACTAAAGTAAGATACGCATTTATGAGATATGCTAGGTCTACAATGAGAGTCGTGAAATCGTGAGTCGTAAGAATTGACCAATCACAATCGAATTTGAGAAGAATAATCGACTGTGATTGGTCAATTCTTACGACTCACGACTTTACGACTCGCATTGTAGACCTAGAAACGCCTTGATTCCTTCTCTGCAACTGTTTTCTCTCGCACTGTCTCGCAGACGCATCGAGGTAATCTACCAATAAGAGAATTATGATAACTTGATTATTAAGATCTCAGATCTAACCTAAAGTCTAACCTATTGAACTGCGTATGTACATATAGAGCTGGTATGTACATACAATTATTATTGAATTTTACGTTTTTACTATGTAACACATACAAACGATAAGGTCTGAATTATGTATTTGCTTTCATTAAGATTATGTGAAAATGTTGAAGGTACTTGACAGGAAACATGATAGACTCACAGGACGTCAGTGAACAGGAATTAGAAGTGTTGAGAGGCGATGCCCTGGATAATAGTCTCTGCAGTAGCAAATGGATAATCAAAACTCTGATGTCTCTATGTGAGGTAATTTCTTAGGATAATTACTCTTTACATATTAACTATTTGATATAACAATATCGTGCGAGTGGTGTGAAACAGAATTGAACAGCAACATTACGCGCAATATTTTTTGAAATTCTGTTTTATTGGATATAAATCTCTTTTTTTTATATTATTCTATTCTTTTTTAATTGTTTTTGTTAAGTTCAATCTTGTTTGTTAGATATGTGTTAAGATTAAAGTGTTTTATGTATTGTAATTTGTTTCAGATTGACAAGCATGGCTGGACAAAAGAGCTAGAAGATCAGCTGTGTATTCTGTGGGATCTGAGTATGGAGGGAGAAGTGGTGTCGCATCTTATATCATACGATTTTCCTAACATAGCGAAGAACACCCTGATGACTTCTGACGAACCACGATTAATTGTACAATCTATAAATCATGACGTCCGATTGTTAATTCTGCAGAATCTATTTTAACAACAAATTTTGGGCCGGTTTAATAACGAAAGATATATTTTCAGGAAATAATCTTAGGTATCATCGGCAATGTAGGCAGCAGTGATGAAGCCTTCAATACGATATTACGCGACCGAGAGCTTGTTACACAAATCCTGAGACGTTTAACATCTGACGACTCGTTAATATTGATTCAACTTATGAGGATCTTAAAGTCAGTTTTGTGGCAAGTCATGGCTCATCAATCAGAGGATTTTTTGACAGCTTATTTTACAGAATGCGAATTTTTCGGAGATTCTATAATTTTTATATTAAAGAGCTCGACAAATGGTACGCACTGTAATTGCACAAAAGAATCCTTTTGCATAATTAATATAATCGTGAAATGTCTGTTGCAGATGACTTATTAACAGGCACGATGAATATGCTTGAATCTATATGTGACGTAGATACGTTGGTTATTGAAAATTTCTGGGAGAAACTATTTAGAATAGACGACTTGTTTTCGGCGATGTTAGAAGCATTCAGCGAGGTAATATCGAAGAGAAAAACGAGTCAGTTTGAATGGAAGTTTGCCGAACATTGGCTGGGAGTGATAACTGACATAGTAGACTGCGCCTCTGATGGTGGATTTAAATCTACTGGATTTAATTTCTCTGAATTTAAAATCGACAAGACTGACGAGAAGTTTTTGAAGCTCATGGAGATTATGTATAGGATATTGAAACCTTGCAAAAAGTCGTATAATTTATATCCAATTCGGCAAGGAGGCGCCAACATGATTCACCATATTACACACATGCTGTTGTGTTTGCGTTGTTGCGACGTGAATGACCCAAGACTGGATTGCATTTTGACGACTATAATTTTCTCCCTTAAAACTGGTATGTAATTTTCGATTTTTTGTTTCAGCTGTAAATAATGCATACGAGATCACCTCTTTTGCCTAACAATATATGTATGTATTAATTCCAGAATCAGCTTCAAAAAATAATCAAGATCCCGAGGAATTGATAGCCGACCTTTTAGAGCATCTGAATGGGTACTGGTTACATATGATTAAAATCTGTACCGGTAAACAGATTATGATAATATTGCGTCTGTGTAAACGCGAGGTTCGTGAATACCTAATAAGTTTTGTGCAATCACATCCTGAAGCGACACCCGAGGCGCTCCACAAGATGAAGAGAGTTGTTAAATACTTGAAAAAATCTTAGGACAAAAGATATTCCCTTAACCCTCAAACACTTGTGGGTTACGGTAATCCACGCCGTTCGTTACATATAGGTTGCACTAGAATCGACTATAATATAAAATGTATTGTAATTATAATATGGATCTGATTATATAGAGTTAATTCTAATAAGTGCAATTTTATATTTACTTAATTGTATCGTATACGTTTATAGGACAAATAGCGTTTTAATATTTTTATTTATAAATCCCATATCGGATCTTATTGCTAGAAGCTATTAACATAAATTGCGAAATTCGAGTTTTGCAAAAGTGATACGCTTTTATCGTATTATTTCATTATTGGTAGCGCTTTTATTGTCTCGTATGTACTTGCAGAGGCTTTCGTAGACAACGTTTACTTATCCGAGTTATTACACAGTCTCAGATCAATTACGAATCGACTTCACCTTAAAAAGACCGGAGTCATTTAGTTCTCAAAAGTAATTTCCATCGTATAACTTTGGAATTGGATTTTAAAATTTTCTTTCCGCGACACAAATCATTTGCGATTATACGGCCTCTATAAATCAGCCTTAGAAGAATTGACCAATCACAGTCGATTATTCTCCTCAAATTCTATTGTGATTAGTCAATTCTTACGACTTTACGACTCGCATTGTAGACCCTGCCTTAAGATGTCATGAACCAATCACAGAGCCGTATTAGCATCTTAAGGCCGGTATTCAAGCCTTCAAGACCGAGGAAACTTCAGTACCAGTTTTTAATGATTTTGGAACGCGACCGATTTCCGACGGTCTCTGTCTTGCTCCGTCTCTGCGCTACGCGTCGTGCTGTCGTGCTCGACCGCTCGCTGGAGTCGCTGGTGTAAGGAAGCACTTGTTGACTGTAAATAATAGAAGTGTTGAAATTTGAATACATTTATCTACGGCATGTAAATTGACCGTGCGTCATGGATTCTGCATTCGGACTGCCGTTAAAAATCAGGTTTTTCTGAAGAGAAAGGAGAATCCTCCGAATTCTGTTGAGAAAACTGCTCCTATTAGCACCGTCGGACGCTTTGTTGATCAATCGCGAGAGTCACGATGGCTGCGAAAGGCATTCACAGCCTGAGATTTAATCAGGATCAAGGTAAACTACAATTTGCGACCAGAAGCTCACAAAAATACGTTTTTTTTCTTCCATTAACATCGTTTCTCTTTCGCAGGTTGTTTCACGTGCTGCATGGACTCTGGATTGAGAATCTATAACGTCGATCCGTTGGTCGAGAAGGCGCATTTCGATAATGATTTAATGGGAAGCATCTCCATGGCCGAGATGCTCTGGAGAACAAACGTAATTGCCGTCGTAGGCGGTGGAAATCGTGCTAAGTTTGCCGATAACACGGTTCTGATCTATGACGATCTGTTGAAGAAGTTTGTCATGGAAGTCACCTTTACCAGTCTCATTAAAGCCGTCAGATTACGAAGGGACAAGTATGGAGTCCTATGCTTTTCCTTTCCCACTATAAATTCCTACGTACGGAACGTTTGTTCTATAGAGGAATATTCTTATGTCGTAGAATGATAGTGGCGCTGCAGCGAGAGATCCACGTCTTTTCCTTTCCTACGCCTGTACGGAGGTTGTTGACGCTCGAGACCAGAGACAATCCAACGGGCTTGGTGGAAATAGCGACGTTCGCGACAGCGCAGAGACAATTGCTGGCCTTTCCCGGTCACAAACTCGGTAGCGTGCAATTGGTGGATCTTGGAGCTACCGAAGCTGGTAGCTCCAGTGCTCCCATTACTCTTTCGGCGCATCAGGTACCTTAACTTCTTCTCGCTACTTTGATTTTTCTTCTTTAAGGAACTTTAATGTTATAAAGATTCACTGCTCCTTGGAATTTGTTTTTGTTTCTTTTATTTATATTAAAGTAAAATAGTTTTTCACTCAAAATTCTTTATATTTATATTATATGTGGGATGGAAGAATCCAGAATCAAATCCAGATTGTTTTTGCTTGATAAGGAACTGCTTGACTAGTAAACCATTCAATGCTCCAATCGCTTTAACTTAATACTTATTTCAACAATTAATAATGCGAGCAATCTTTTATTTACAGTAACTATTTATTATTCATGTGTGTATATGTTGTCATAACTGTAGGGTGCACTGGCATGTCTAGCGGTTAATGGAAATGGGACTATGATCGCGACTGCGTCCGTTCAGGGAACTTTAATTAGAGTATGGGATTCCGTGCGCAGGAGTTTATTGGTTGAATTGAGGCGCGGTGCCGACCCGGCCACGCTTTACTGGTCGGTATACAAAATTAATATAGCCATGTATGACTAGCGTTACAGCGTTGTCGTTGATGCAATTAATATTTTTCAGTTTCTTAATGTTCCTTGATATTTTCTTTTAGCATAACGTTCAGTAGAGACTCGGAGTTCTTGTGCGTCTCAAGCGACAAAGGAACAGTGCATATATTTGCCCTAAAAAATACCAGCTTGAATCGACGATCCACGTATGTAAACTGATGCTCTTTTTCGTACGAACGAATATTTACCATAAAAGACATACATAACTTCATATGTATTTTCTTGTTTTTTTTTTTTAATTTAGTTTTTCAAATATGGGTTTTCTCGGTAATTACGTCGAGAGTCAATGGGCATTGGCTACCTTCACAGTACCTCCAGAATGCGCCTGCGTTTGCGCGTTTGGCACGCACAATTCTGTGATAGGTAGCGTATTTATTTTCTATGAAAAAAATATATCGCTGATATACCGCGCGCTTCTTCCCTTATCTTTTAATTTTATTGTAATTTCAGCTGTATGTATGGACGGAACGTTTCACAAGTACGTCTTCACTGCGGAAGGCAATTGCAATCGACAAGCATTTGATGTTTTCCTCGACGTGTGCGACGACGAAGACTTTTAACACAAGGCCTACTACGTGTGCATGCGTGCGTGTATAGTTACAAGACTATATACTTTCAACGAAATTTCTAGTCGGTTTACGAACGAAATTTCTTATATGTGATAATTGTACAGGTAATCGAGTCGCCGATTACGTAGAAAGTGCACAAGTCATGGGAAAGTCAATGTCCCATAGAGGTCCTCGAGTACAATCTCTTTTTGTGACTTATGTACTTTTCGTAATTATACAGCTTTAATAAATATTAACAGACATTTATTTTATACAACGAACAACCCATTTAACTTTTATATATTTATATCACCTTTCCTTTACAGAACTTCTGGAAGTATAGGAAGTTTGCGTGACGTGCAATTAAAATATATCCAAGAGTTTTACAGGAACTTGAAACAAATCTTACAGAGTTAAATTATGTAGGTCTATCCGAGAAGGCTCGTTCTCGTATTCTCTCTGAAAAAAAAGTTTATTGTTAATCGAGATAATTATTTGCGCAGAACTTAGTCCTTTATTAATATTCTGAAGATATATACTGTATGGTTCAGGATTCAACATAGGTCGTATCATGGAAGCGTAACAGAGCGCACCTATAAGTCCGAAGAAACTTCCGACAAACACACCGTATCTCCATCCTTTCAATCGCATCACTGCAAACGGATCTATATGGGCAGAGAAACAAACACTATCGAACGTCACTCAATTTAAAGGAGCTGCTGTTTTTATTATTCAAACATATTTGACTTATTTTAATGTTACATTCTCAAACTAGGAGCACACTAATTGCACGTTAAATTGTAAAGTCACTAAAACATCGCGTCGACTACAAAAATGATATGTCTGATTGATCATTAAATAATCCAAGACTTTTACTTGCGGAGTAATCAATAGCACTCGGTATGTAATGAAATGTACCTCTCGCTCTCGCCTGTTTTTTTAAGGTTACGTCTCAAACGTAGTGCCCGATTTCTCCGTTAGACGGCGAAAATGTACAACTTCGTTTCTCGTTAGTACACTTATTTGTGCTATTTAATATATAAGCTACATTATAGGGTGGACTGATGTACTTGCTTCGGCAGTACATATACTAAAATTGGAACGATACAGAGAAGATTAGCATGGCCCCTGCGCAAGGATGACACGCAAAATCGTGAAGCGTTCCACATTTTTTGCATACGTATGTATCCATTATTTATTCATTATTAATTTAAATGATAATATATTATAGTATTATACGAAAAAATATAAATGTCCTCATGAAGTGGTAAGAAAGCGCGTTTAGTTCCATGGTATTAATAATTGATAATTAATAGCAATTGGCATTACGAAATAATTAGTGTCTACATAAAATTAAAATTTATTTTGTCGGTATGACTGAAAAATATTAACATATTTTAAAAATGAATATTTAATTGTTTCAATGAAATTACATAATGAATAATTAAAATAATTATGAAATAAATTAAAACTTCATTAAAATTTTAGATATATACTTTCTTAAAAATATTTTTTAATTCTTTATACTTAAATCATTCTTTTAGTATATTTTTAAGTATTAGTTCAGTGTTCTTATATATTCTTTTAGTAAAAGTATTTTTTATATAATTATTCTTTTCTAAGTTTTTTATGAAACTATCATACTGATATAATATTATACAAACTAAAAAAGTTTTCAAACATATGTGTATATATTAATGTTTAAGTTTTTCGTTAATAATTTTCTAGAAGTAATATCTATAGCAAAAATTTATTTGTAACAAACGATTGATTATTTTTAACACAACTTAATTCACATTAAAATACAATAATAATAATACAATTATTATTAGAACACATTTACGAATTACGCAACTATATATCTTATGTAGCTCCACAATTAATTATTAAATTTATTTGATACCAAAATCAAAATTCGTATACTTTTTATCGATTCTTGATAGAATACACTTTTGTAAATAAGTGACGTTTATTAGTGACGATAGAGCGACTACTGACAGTATAAGATACTTGGCATTTTAAGTGTTCAAAGGCGAATAAAATATCCATCGAATTACGGCAGTTCTTTCAAACGTAATTAT